CTTTGCTAAGTTTTAATCATGTATTTACATTTTGTTGATGAATGTTTCTATCATGTAAATTATCTGATGTCCAACTTTAATCTCAATTAAGAATTATTTGTTGTTTGAATTTTCGTAAGAGTGTATGGCGAATTTAAATGTTGTTTATTGCTCTTTGTTGAAACTTTAACACTTGTTAGGTTGTAATTTGTACGTAGGGCGCGCGACTCCTCAAGCTGACGGGATTGATCGCGTCACCTGCACAAGTCCGCGGGTTTGTATAGCGTCAGGGGGCGATCGTGGGTTTGTAACGCTGTCAATTTGGACCAATAGTCGAGACCCAACTACGGATCTGCTACGACGCCCCCTCTGGGTATTTTGTTGTGCTCGAAAATGAAATTGATATATTTTGTTCGATCGCCACACTCGCATAACGATTCGGGTACTGCCATCCATTTTACATATGTGTAGGTTTTGTGTTTGTTCGGTTTTCATATGTGTATGTCTGTCAATTCGCGAGTGTTTTTCTTTTATATATCTTAAGGTGTTTGAAATGTAATATTTCGGTGAATAAAACCCTAAGGGGTTTTTGGGAATGAAGATTGATGACGCCTTGGCCCTGCGGAGTCACCAGAAGGGCACGCTGAGTCCCTTTCGCTCTTAATAATAATAATAATAATAATAATAATTTTTATTGAACCAATTTTAAATAAAAAAATTAAAAACATTGGTACAAAAGGTACAGATACAGCAAAAACTGACATTAATCTGACCTGACATTAGTATCTAACTTAACATTAGTTTTAAAAAAAGTTTAATTATTGGTTTCTTTTCCTCCTAAGGAAGGGTCCCATTGTGGCCCTCCCTAAATTTTGTCTATAATTTCTTGCGCTCTCAACTCACACGCACTGTATGCAATTGTATGAAAGAACGTCTTCCCGCCATTTTTCAAAAACAAAAAAAAAACACACAACGTAGGTTCCCATTTGTTAGACGATCACAGCCAAGGCCAAACTTGAATTTTTGAATTTTTCGCGGGCCTTTCAAACTTTTTCAAGGTCAATTTCAAGGCAGGAAGTTTGGGTTATCACAATCTATAGCGTATCTATATCTGTACTGTAGGTACCCTGTATTGTAGCTGTATCGCATCTAGATGCACCTGTATTGTATATTGTATTTCTATTGTAGTGTACTGTATAACGTTCTATCCCTCATTAACAAATCCTAGCCCTATTCTTTACTGGCAAGACGCGCTCCAGATCTTCCCGTGGTTCTTGCTGAGCATCAACGATCCAGCTCAAAAAATTCAAATATTTAGAGCCAGCAAAGTTGCATAAAATTCGTGGAAATCGCTCGTTGGTGGCCAACGTGGAGCAAGAGGGGCTTTTGTAACTGAAGCATTATACTATTTAAATGTGATAAATATGTCATAAATGTCATAATTAAACCAACAACCGTTTTCCTACAAACATGAAGTTATTAAAAACAATTCAGTTTGTTTAAACATTGTTAAATTAATTGATCACTTCGTAATTTACTTCGCAATATAAAATTTTATTCTTTTTAAATATTTTCGTCTCTAGTTTGTAAAAAATCATGTTTGTTAATTTTAAGGAGTCTCTGTCCACCTCTATCTGTTGATGTATGATGAGGCACCAAATAGATCCGTTTTTTCGTACTAGTAGGTTTGAGATAGATGAATATGTGACATCATTAATACAAGATATAACAAAATAGAAAACAAAAAGTCAGTATTGACGTCGAACACAAACAAAATTACCCATAATTTCACAGTAATGATCAAATTTCGATCCTATTATCGGACAAACCAATCAATACTGATAAGTCTGACATTTTTTTTGTTCACCACAAATTCGACCGTATGCGAATTATTGATTTATGGGTTACTTTATTTAGCTAAAAAACAACAAACAACTCGAATCCAATGTATATTTATTCATGAAACGTAATAAATACATATTTTCGCGGGAAATAATGCAGAATTGTATGACGAACGTTGTTAAGAAGGTTCCAAATCCTGATTTTCCGAGCGCATTCGCCAATTTAGAACGTCAATCGCTTCGCCAAGTACGTGTTTGTGTTTATCTTGAATCGTTTATCTAGAACGTCATGCACTAATAATTCGCAATCTGACTGAAGATGCATATGCAATACAGGTACAGGTAGTTCAGAAGTCAGTGCACACACAAATACTACTAACATCGTACACACATTACCGAATAAACATATTGTATGAGGATGATTGTAAAATAAATTGACTTGGTCAGCAAAATTTTGAGATGACGTCAGGGGCGGCTTGTCCTATGAGGCAGGTGAGGCAGTGCCTCACCAATGAATTTTACGCCTTATTAGGATTTTTACTATTTTTTAACGACACATTTCGGCCAATAATTTGTGTCTTTTTTCTAAAATTTTAAAAATAAATATGGAAAATTATATTCTTATTTTTATCTCAGTAGGTACTCGTTGCTCCCTTAATTAAACAGCGCGCTGAAACACTCGACACAACATGTATTTTGTGACGCGAATGAGGCAAACTCGGAGCTTGCCTCTGCAGCGGATATAGAAATCATATCGTTAATAGGCAAGCAACCTGCAATACACTCATAAGCGGTATGAGTTGAAAAAAGACAAAATTGAGGCTAGCCTCATTTCCGTGCTTGGACAACAATATTTGCGCGCGGAGAACGTGCGATTACAATGCAGTCTGCATTTGCAGAAGTATTCAAAATTAGGCCGTTGATTGTTTTGTCACAAATCTGTGTGTGTATAAATTGATTCAAAATTTCGGTAACAGAATTTTGTCTTAAGAGTGCCTACGTTTGTGTGTGTCGCGTTAGTGCTTTGTGCTTGTCATAATTTGATTTCGGTAATCGTTATTTAAGATTACGAGTAAATCGGAATTTTTCTCTACTAACGTTAAATGACAATAGCAGTTCTGTTTTTTCTACTTTCACGTATGATGATAAATTGTATGTAGTTAAGGAATTAAAACGGCCAGTTCCTGATTTGAGTAAATCGTTAATTATTGATCTATAAAAAAGTTTAAAATAAATCCAGAGTATTTATGTTTTATATGTTTTTCGTTTTGTTTTTTGTTATAAACCAAATAGGTTTATTTTATGTTGTATTTGATTTTTTTCGATATGTTTTCTTTAAAGTTTATTTTAATTTTGTTTTTTTTTTTAAGTTATATTAGTTTTTTCTGACCACGTTTCCCTTTCCTTTTGTCCTGTCATTCCCATCCTTTCCTTACAAGAGTTCCTTACACCTTCACGTTGGTTCTTGGTGGACAGTTAAATGAGTTTACAAATTTGTTTATTTGACTAAGTAGAAAATATTTAAGTAATCTTGATTTATTTATATTTTGGAGCGTATTGTGCCTCATCAACTTTTCAAGTCATGAGCCGCCCCTGCATGGGTGACATTTGGTTGTTTTCGTTACACGTACAGTGTACAGTAGAACCTCGATAATCCGAATTAATTGGCAAAAAGGTGTGTTCGAATTAACGATTTGTTCGGATCAGCGATTTTCCCGAAAATCTGAAAGGGAATTGAACAACAACTTCATACACAGTTGAAAACAAACTTCAATAAATAAACCTTAATTTTATTAAACAAAATTAAAGAATTCTTAAGCAACAATGGATAATTGATACATTCGAAAAAAATATTACTCCGTGACCATAAACACGCTATCCGATTGGAGTCAACACGCCGAGATCTATACCCAGAATTTTGTCAGAATTTTTAGATGAATTTTTCAAAAATGAAATTTTCCATGGTATATTACCTCCATTATGCAATTTTCGACCCATTTTCGACGATTTTCGAAATTTAACTAAACACTTTTTCTTGTAGATTCGGGCCTCATTTCATCGATAACTTCAACTTTTTTTCCAGAATTAGTTATTTTCAGTGCACTGAAATATCGCAATTTTTAAAAATTTCAAAATATTCCATACAAAATATGCAGAAAGACCTTGCGTCATTTTTGCAAGTAGGTGCGTGTTTCCAAGTTCAGTTCGGATTGCAGAGTTTTTGTTCGGATTAAAGAAGCATTGACTTCAAATAGCCTCTGTTCGGATTACTGGATGTTCGAATAATAGTGAATTCGGATTATAGAGGTTGTACTGTATTTACAAAATGAAATGCAATTTCAAAATTTTGAAGTTGGTAAAAATAAAGTACCTGGGTCGTGTGTCAGGGGGGGGCAATTGCACCCATTGCCCCCCCCCTGGATCCGCCCCTGTATAAGTACAATGGTGCAAGGTGCAAAAATCTTGTGAATGAAAGTGCAGAAGTGTTATTGCTGTCAAGTTGGGTTTCTTATTGTCATTGGTCCCAATCAGGTACCCAATCACGACCCATTTGCGCGCGCAAAATCATTGTGTCTCATTTTCATTCGGAGAATTATCTCATTCATATCTTTTTATTTACATATAGTAGGTCTATTATTGTGGTGCAACAGATTTGAGTTGGGAGCTGCGATTTCACAAACACTACGAAGAGCACCTTGGCTACTCGAGATTTGGCGAGCATTTACTCGTCACTCGCCGAATGTCCAACTGTTTGGCGCCGCCCTTAGATAGGTGGATGCATGCATATCAAAGGGACCTTGACATCCGAGAGCTTATTAAAAAATATCCAACAGTTCAATTAACGATAACATGTAGGTACATATACATGTACATGAATTTTGATTTCTCAAAAGCAGTTCATCCCTGCTGCCCTGAAATTCTGAAAACATAATCACGTTACGAGTAGTGTTGGACTGACCACACAAATCTAATGTTATCTATGCAAAATTCCCATTCACTGTTGTTCAGAAGCAAAAGAAAAATTAACGTACGTTAACTTATGGTTTTTTATAGGATAGGTGATACCGTGAACCAAAAAGCTAACGAACCTACCCTCACGTGGCCGCTTTTTATCTATTGAAATCCGCCAATGAAAATAAACATTCGCAGCGTTGGCTGTCTTAAAATAAAAAATAACTATACTAAAAACAATATTTATTTATTGTAACTCCATTTTTAAAAGCACACATTTTTATATGTAAAATAGACATAACTCTACAAATCATTACAAAATGAATATATGTAATAAAAATGACTCGTCACCTCACCTTGCTAAGCAAAGCTTTAAAAAAGACAATATTGCAACAGAATAACAGGGATACAAACGTAAAGCAGCGAAAACGTCAGTACGGACAATTGTTAGAATATGTATAGATTAGGTAAAGGATTTTGAAATTAACTTTTCTGTATAGGAAAAGTTAGGTATCTTAATTTTATTTAATAAATAATAGAATAAACATTGGGCTTTACTGAAGGCAATATTCTTGTGCTCCAGTCAACAGTTTTTTAATCACATAATATATTACTATACATTAAAATATTACTAGAATGTGCAAACTACATGAATGAAATATATATATTTATAAAAAAGAAAAGGTCAAAGGGCGAAGACTGAACGATCCAGTCAGAATCAGGTAAAGCGTACAGATAGCATAATTTAGCTGCAACAAAACACATATAAATATTATTCGACAACCACTTAACATCGCTCCTCACTTCTTCTTAAGAGTAAAAAAGCTGCGACGTTTTGAATCCTCCTTTTGTGCAGACGCAGGCAATGTCTGCGAACGCGAAGGACCAGAAGAATCTGCATCTGCTTGAGAGTTGATGCGAGAAATCCAGGTGTTCATCTCGGCATCGTTATGCGCTTGGAACAAAAATTCAGCACCACTTTCCAATCTAGAAAAGAATGTGATCAAAACAGGCAATTTTTATCTCATATTAAACATTATACTTTAGCCTGAAAACGTGCTTTTTCTTCTTATAATCTTGGGCTACAGAAGCAACGGCTTTGTGCACGGATAGAGGAGTTTCATTCTTGAAGGTCTGATCGGGCGTGGCCCGTGCGACTTTGCTGTCTTTGTAGAATGCAAGCTGAGAGCCGTGCAAGACGGTATATAGTTTATCCCATGATCTGACCGAAGCTTTGGTGGTTGTATTTTCCCATTCGTGTTTGCGAGTTAAAATACCTTCAAAGACTTCTTCATCACCTGGACTGCCGCGTTCTACACACATCAAAAATTTGTAAAACATAAAGAGACATGACAGACATTTTTTAAGTTAATTATTAGGTAAACAGTACATCTTATAGTGTTAATTATCCTGTTTTAGAGTACGTACTTACAACCAACTCTTATTCTCCACATTAATTAAGTGACAAAATTAACGAATAAATAAGTAGTGAAGAATCTACACTTCACTCATTCACTGTACAATGAGTGAATATTTAACGTACGTACGTTCTTTATATTAAAGTTAACGGAATTTACTATTTTAATTCCTTTACTACCTTACATAAATAAAGCACACTACACAAACTGCACATACTTTTTTGATGAGTTTTCTATTGCTTTGACAAATGAACCACCACCTTTCCCAAGGCACATGAATCTTGCTTCGACATAAAACTGCACAAAATACCAACTTTATCTACAGTACCTGATGTTCCTGCAGCTTCGTCATCACTAACTGCTCCAGAAGTCTTAGAAGATCCCTTCTTCCATCGGAAACTACGGAAGGGGGACTTGCTTCGAGAGCGGTCCTTACGTTTCGCCTTTTCTTCGGCTCTCGATACTTAGAAAAATGACAAATAAAGCAAAACAACCCCACAAATGATAAACATGCTCCAAATAAAAATAACTGCTGTTTTCGAATAACCTCTCGACGATAAAACGAAACATACTTACGGGTTTGTGATCGTGGCGAGGATTGAATGGGTGTGGATTGTGGCCGCTGAACAACTGCGGCACTGTCGCCGGATTGACTGTGTCGTGGTTGTACTTGTTGTCCATGCACTACATAATAACATGCTCATGCATTAAACAATTAATACCATGCAAGTTGACGGTGTTACAAAGAATAAGCTGTTTAAAAAAATGGTTATTTTTTTATTTACATACATTTTTCTATCAGGGTTGTAATGCATTGACCTAAACCCTGACTTAAATCCGATTTAGGTAGTCATGTTTTAATCCGCGTTTACACCAGCAATAATGCAAAACAAATTTTGTAGAGCATCATTTCACCGTACTTTACTAAAGTACAGTTCGCCAAATACTGAAGATTGACTTTCTGTTTCCACAAGTCCAAGTGCTTAGTGGAAGCCCCAAACAGTTGACCATTATAACCTATAAATGTGTTCATGCACATCTGATTCACAGAATATTTGTTCCCTCCACACAAACAATCAGAGAGATCAGGGATGTTAATGAACAGCTATTTGGTGACTTTCAACAAACAGAGAGTTGATGTTCACTATTTGGCGGTCTCTACTTTAAGAACGTCAAATACGAGGAGGGTGGAATAAGAACGAAGGAATAATACGGTGAAATTTGTGGCATCTGAATCTAAACACCGTTTGCGGGACTATGCACTCGAGTTAACCACGCCCTTAGGTTGGAAAGTACCGCTAAGCAGTGGCGGAATATGGCGATGAAACCAACTGAAAGTTATAAAAACTAAGGGTCTTTCCAAGATTGTTTACTTCCATCCCATGAAAGTTTACAGCTCTACAAAGTTTGCAGCTTATCATGTTTATTTTAAAAAGCCACAACACACAGTACGTGATGGAACAAAATAACTGGCATGTACACCTATGCAGTATCGGTAAAACGTTACGGTTTTCTAACCTGCTCGCACGGGAGCACAACCGACAAACCCATCGTAAACGGTGTTTGATTTTGTCCCAAAACGGTTCCATTGGAACTCCCTCCGTTCTTATTCCAACCTTTTCGATCAAACATCTCAACGCACATTATAAAATAGTGATTTACGTTTACTTAACAGTGAGTAACAAATTTATAATATATATTAAAAAACAATTTAATTTCGGCACAATTTAAGAAATATTTTTCTCAATTCGAATTTATTAGTAGTAATGCTCTCGCACAAACTTGTTTGTTTGTAATAAAAATCAATACTTTTGCATTGATGAATTCTGAGCATTATTATACATAAAACGTGAAACTCATTATTATTCACATTGGCTTTCAATATTTCGGGAAATTTTATAAAAATGTTAAAGATAGACAAAATTGCTCACCAAGGTCATAAAAAATAGCTGAATTTTGCAAGTTTTTTTTAAATTGAGCATAGAGTAGAAAACAACTTGTGTTCTACACGTCACTTTATTCAAACTATTTTTAAAAGAAGTAACAAATATATTTTCATTACAAACCAAAAGAACTCTCATTTGACAAATCTATTATGAATCCATCTTACGAATTTGTTACGAGAAATGATCGATTTCTTGCACAATACAATTTAAATACATAAAATTAACATTTCGTTTAATACATCCGCATCATAAAATAATTTCATAATTAACAGTAGGTAAATTATTATTTAATTAATATTGATGAAGGAATAACAACGCATTTGAAAAAATATATTGAATAAACAACTTATATGCAAAATGTTACACCAAATGTTAAAAATCAAGTGCTAAAAGCCTACAGGCTCCGTCAGAAGAGCAAAAAGCAAACAAGCATCTATTGAGAATAATGAACGTCAACTATGTAATTGTAAATTGTAAAAAAAAGAGGAAAACATTTGAGCAGGAATAGTTTGAAAAATAGATTCGTAATATTTCTTTCACCCTAAAAGAACCAAATTACGGAAGAGGTAGGTCCTTAAAAATATCACTACAAAAAATACAGAAAACGATATTCATTAATATTTTTTTAGAAACTGAAACTGTTTTCTTCAATAATATTACGTTAATATAATGTATAGCACTATTATTTATTGACAAATTAATAATAAATTCACGTGGAGTGCTTAATTTTACACATAATGAGAACAAAATCTCCTGATATAGTAAGTACATGTGAAATATGCGAATACGAATTTAAGAGTACGTATGAATAAATAAGTCAACGAAATTATTGTTGTATCTTACGCATCACAACGTTTTGTTTTTTTTTTTGACAGCACATCTTGATTCCAAAAATCTCCCTACACACCACCGTGCCCTACACAATATTGTCGGTTGAGTTTTCGTACTATGTTGCTGGTTCAGCGGTTTTTTAATTTTTGGATAATATGATAATGCAAAAAAATTAGTCTGTAAACAATGAAACCGTTCATGTTTATTGACCTAGAAATAAGAGATTTGAAGACAGATATTTACACCATAATAATAGGCAAGGTAAATTTTCAGTAAACGTACGGGGTTGGATAAGTATCCGTAACGCTGGAATGTGTTGGAGGATAGATGAATGTTCAAAGCAGGGAATTATGTAAACATTTTGGAAAATGTAACATCATCAGTGCAACAAATATTTCCACAAAACGAGTTTATTTTCCGGCATGATTATTAATACACATTATCGAAAATCTTGTTCTGTCTGTGCCGCGAAGATTGAGGGCTATAATTGGGTCAAACGGTGGCGCAATTAAATAATAAATAATTTATGTTCAAATGTGTGTTGCATCAAACGTTCTTTGTTAGTTGTAAGTTATAACGGTAATAAACAATTTTTGAAAATGTGACAACGTTAAATTTAGGTTATACGAGATTTATGTGAGGAGAACTGTACTTTTTGAATTAGTAAATGGTTTTCAGACTTTTTGATAATATTAATCACATATTAATAAATATAAATAAAATAGATGTTTTTGATGAATTTTTAGCGAATAATCAAAAGTAAAGTTCCTTTATAATAATTTAGATAAAAGTTGGGGCATGCGGACTCAATGTCGAGCATCACTTGATTTTTTATTCAAACACCACCAACTTTTTATTTTGACAATAATAATGAAAGATAAAAATGTCACAGAAGGCAAGCAGTAGATTTTAAATTGCAATTTATATGAGAATAGTACATAAAATGTTCCTTACGTGTTTAATTCGAAGAACAAAAACTAAAATGGTAATAAAACAAAAATTTAGAAGACGGAGCAATGTGAAGAGTTAAAATTCAAGAAAACTAGTGATCTATCACATCTACTATTTACAGCAATTACAGAGAATTTAGAGCCAAATACCAACAGTGGAGTTTGGTTTGGCTCAAATGCATGTTCAAAGGATTATTTTATATGATATTAAAAAAACATCATGTATAATAATATGCAGTGGTACATTCAGCTCCCTCACACTGGAAACGTCTATACTAATAATGATATACTTTACTCAGTATTTTTTTATGAAAGTGGAAATATTGGTCAATCATTGACAGGAATAACAATATTTATTAATTGGTCAGAAACTCAAATAATAATAACATATTATGAATACTGCAACACTTTTACTGCAATAATTTTTATATTTTATATGCTTTCGAATATCGCATTGGACTTCTGCACTGTAAATTTTAAGTTTGTTTAATAGTATTTCGTAATTCAGTTTCTTCATGTTTTACCTGTGAATTTTCAGCAACAATCATCTTTAAGCATCTGCCAGCGTTTTGAAACTTATTTTTAATAAATGAATCATCATTTTTAGAAATTTTAGTTTCGTTGTATTTTTCAATGTTAAGTTTACTAAGAGCCAAAACGGGAGATTTCAGTGTTAATCACTTTAACCATTGGAATGTATTTTCCGTAGATTTCAGTTGTCAACTAATCGTACATATTTATCATCTACCATGTTCAATTCCAGTAAATTTCAGTGCACGCACAACTTAAAGCATGCTGGGTGACACGAAATGCATTTTGAACTTTCATTTTCTCGAAATGATTTTTGTTTTCAAGAAGTTCAGACTTTAATTTCGGAGCCAATTTTATATTTGTGGATAATTTGAAATGTTCTTACACAGATTGGGCTTGCCTGCTATAAAGTATAGTTGTTTAGAAAAGTTATCGGGGTTTGCAATATAATTTTTATTTTGTAAATTAAATAATTAATTATTAATTTAGATCATTTATCTAAATTATTATAAAGGAATAGAAACACACCACTCATACGCCGAAAATTCCCTTTCTGCACTAAATATTATTACGTGTTTCATGAGGTATTGGGTAAAGGGCAAACAGGGCAGGGTAAAACATTTTATATAAAATATATAGGCTATAAAACCTACAAAATATAACTATTCCAAGAAACCAAGCATTATTCTCAAAAAGAGAGAACGAAAAAAATGAAAGCATTAAATAATTACTAGCGCAAGCTACAACTGTTAATATATAACTCCTACCTCATTAGTAGAAACCTTCAAAATGAAACAGAGAAGAGAACGTAAAGACCTGAAATGTATTATATTTTTACATGCCAATAATTAAAGACATTCACGCATCGTTATTAAACGTCATTCAAACATCCATCCATATTAAATCGTTTTTGTGCAGTTTTAACAGTACTGAAATATTAATGTACCCTTGTGCATAGAAACAAAGCAATAGAAACCAGTGCTTATTAATAACATTTATGTGTAGATAGGCACCAATAGCATCACTGTAATAATTACAAAGATTTTTACCTTCACCTGGTGAGCTAGCTTTTAAAGAAGCTCTCTGACCGCTTCCTGCTGCGTGAAGTGATAAAGACAATTTAGTTCTATTCGATATTGATGGCAATTAAGATGCGTCCCTTTATTGCAAATGCCGTGGAAAATAATTAAAAATGTGTACCTGGTCGTTCTTCCGCTGCTGGCGTTCCAGAATCAGGTCGATCAACAGGAACAGCTTCAGGTTGTTTAGGCTGAGCTGCTGCTAAAGCTGCTTGTCGTTCAGCTTCCTCTTGTTCACGTCTTGCACGTTCTTGGGCTTCAGCTGCTTCTTGTCGTCGTTTAATTTCTCTTAATTCAAACTGAAGGCGAAAATAGTACTTATACACATGAAATACATAAGTTGCATAGAGCTATTTCAAGCTGAACAATACATACTAAAAAGAGTACTTGAACTGAATATTCGAATTAAATAAATACAAGTGCAAAAAAGCAGAAGCACCAATGACGGAATTAATGGACGAGTAAGGTAGCATTTGCCCTACATGATCCTTTAGTTCGAAGTACCTGCCTCATATGTTGTTAAAGCAAATATACACAAAATCATGGAGAGTAAAAACGTTAATAAGCAATAAATTACGGGTCCCTGGCATAAATTGCCAATAAGGTCCCCGAAATTATATCCGCCACTGATTAGCACTATTCATGCAAGAAATGTGGTAAATGAAAACTTACCGCTTCATTATTAGTGGATGAAATGAACGGAAAAGATTTTCTATAAATATTTTTGAAACTTGCTCCCTTATTCGCATTATGCAGTGGATGTTGTGATACACGTTTTTTTAAAAAATATGTTTTACCCGTTTCCATATAACTAGCATATTTCTCGGCATCTATGAAATCTTGTACTATGTATTTATCATCACATGCATCGTAAGTATTATTTTGATTATCCCGAAAGTAAATGTCAATAGTTCCAGATTCAAACATTGAAACTGATCGCTTATAAAATACTTTGCGTTTATTCAAACCTGGTGAAGGGTTGTCTGTATTTCCATGGAGGAAAGTGACATTTTTACGTAGCTTACTTATTTTAGCATATTTAGTAACACCGTCTAATGTAAAACGTCTTCGATAAAAAATTTTTGGATTATAAAAGCGGTCAACATCACAAACAATTGCTCTGATTGATTCAGACACGTATCGCTGCGATAAGTTACGAAAAGGTGCAGGTTTCGCATTTTGAAAATCAGGTATGGATAAAGAAAAATCACATATAGTAGGACATTCATGCAAGGTCGACGACCGACATAGGCCACCACCACCCTTCTCTAACTACAAATACGAGCAAAAAATTAATTTTAAAAACAACTGTGAAGCTATAACACATTAAATAAAATAATAACAATACCGTAGTCAAACGTTCCAAAGCACTAAATCGTTCTTCTTGTGCTGCCGCAGATTTTTCAAAGGCTTCATGTTTTTTGATAAGATTTTCAACGTCATCAATGGTATGTCCTAATTCTGTACTCATTAGATATGGTTCTTGGGCAATCAACCACGCTTCAGCTACTGCGGCATCTCTCGCAAATTGATAAACTTCAAGTATTAATTGCAGATTTTCCCATCTGAAAGTGTCGAATTAAACTTTATATATGAAATTGATAAAACAATACCTTTCCTCCCATCGTTGCAAAACTGAATTCCTGTGGTTACTTAAAGTAACTAGTTTATCTTTGATTTCTGCACTAGCATAATGATTGCGACTAAGCAATTCCTTTCCAAGTGAAATGCAAGCGGTAAAATTATCTTCTCTAGCATCTATTTCGGCTTTTAGGCTTTGGTGATTATTCATTAACAATTCCACGCCACTAACATCTCTAGGTTTCTCACTGGTATTCATTTGTCTGATCACGTCATCCATCCACTGCATAAGGGTTCTCACTAAATTGAAGAATTTGAAGAGGTCTCCAGTGTCAGCTAATTTCGTTCGCCTTTGATCACACACAGCTTGTAATGACGCCCAAGCTGCGATTACTTCGTGCTCCCTATTGGTGATTTCCTTAGCTTTGTCTCCTGAATTAAAACAGAAAATAGAATTTGAGTGAAAAAATTGATAAAGTTAATGGTATAAGACACTCAGTACTTTTGTTCTGTTCCAAAAAGCGCATAGAACGCCGTTTTTTTCTGCTAAGTTGGTTCGAATTTGAGGCACATCAAAAATAAATTACATTATTATGTAATGTCAAAATTCTCCACGCCACTGGAAAGGTGGGAATGATCAAATCGGGATGAGTTACTGTGCTGTTTGGGGTCCAAGACGACTCTGCACTGATTACGAAACAATCTACTAATGAAATAACTATCAATGTATAATTTAATTAGGATATTGCGTTTCAAAATCGAACTACAGTGTAAAAAAACGGCGTTTCTGAAATTCTGCAGAACGCTGTAAAACTACACTTTACAATATCAAAATATATATTTTTTACTTTAGAAGTAGGAAAAAATCCATGTTAAACTTGCAACGTTTTTTTGTCATGTATCTCTAAAAATTATACTTTTTCTTAAATAACTTCAAAGCTCAAATTTCGGATTTCTATTCACTATAGAATCAAAACGAAACTACCTGCATAACTGGCCTGTAATTTTGCAGATTCTTCCTGTATTTGTTGTACTTGAGTTTGTAGAGTCTGCAGATCTTGTAAGAAATTTTGATGTTTCCTTTGGAGTGCTGAAACAGAACCTGCATCGCGCCCCAATTCATCAGACATGGACACCTGCTTTTCAAGAATCCTCCCCAAGACGTCCTTGCAATCGTGGAAGAACTTGTGCAATTCCCGTGATGCTGCAAGCATTTGAGTGCGAGTTTCGATCAATTCCAGTAGATCCTGCCATGCTTCGTTCAATCCGTCCTTCCATTCTGCAATAGTTGCCGAATCAGAGTGTCCAGCTTCTATTAAACGGTCGGCAATATCGGTAACAGCCGCAACTCGTTCTCTACCGATTGATTCGGTATCGCGAGCAAACTCCTTAAATCTTTCCCACAACAAGGTCACATGATCGTAATCTTGTCCTAGTTCATGTGATGAAGCTACCACTTCTCTATCAGCTATCCACTGTTCCAAGTCCTCGACATCGCGGTGTAAGAGGAAAAGTTTAAGGGCTTCGTCAAGTTTACCTCGTCTTTCACCTGCCAGATCTTTGAGACCCGCATACAGTTTGTCGAGCTGTGACTGTTTAACGGCTACTTGTTCCGCTAGAGGATGTCCTTCGGCCGCTAGAGCTCGTACGGTTTCACCCAGAGCGCGGATCGTGTCAGCGTAATCTTCGACCGCGGCTTCGAGACTTTCGTGTTTTTTCATGAAGTTTCGAGCAGATGTCTCATCTTTGCCGCGATCTTCTACCATCATATAGAGTTCCTGTTCACTCATCCAGCTCTCGGCTTCATTCGCGTCAAATAGATATTGCTGTGCGCGTTCATTACGCAACAAATTTTCTCTGCGTTTTTCAACGGCGTCTTTTAGTTCTTGCCAAGCTTGATGGAGTTCTCCAATTAGTCGACTAAATTCGGTTGAATCTTCGTGACCTAAGAGCAAACAAATGCACCATAAAAACAACACCAATTTAAATAAATCAATTGTCAAGTGCTAAACTTATAAGACAATTAAATATATACCTTCGTCAATCAATTTTTGTCCGTTATTGCACACTGTATTAATTCTTGGTTCGTGATTTTCAATTTCGGTTCTCAACGACTGATTTTTCTTCTCCAACATATGAACTTGGAAGAGACTATTGCCGTATTCGGTAGAAGATGCTTGGGGCATTTTCTCGGCAATCCACAACAACTCATCTTCCACATCTCTTCTAAACTGCAACGCTTCCTTTTTCTTTTCCAACACACGCTGTCTTTCCAGTAAGGGTTGTTTGAGTTGCTCGAAGCGTTGTTCTACTTGTATTTTTTTAACCTTGATTTCTTCCAATTTCGGTGCGGGAGCAGTGGTTTCCAGAACTTTGGTTTGTTTTTCTAATTCGTCTACTTGGCGAGCTTTCACTGCCATTTGCGTTTCAATCATCTACAAAATAAAAGTTAATTACATTTTGAAATTTACCTATAGGTTGGCATTATTAGTTTACATGTTTTAATGTGTTTACATAGGTTTACATATGGGTTTGAATAACCGAAAATATTTTCTCCCTTCATACAACAAATTTGTAAAGAAAGTTTCAAATAATTAAAAGACACTTTCAAAAGGACTTTTAGTCCCGATCTATATTTAATTATTGCGTAAGTATGAAATAATAAAACTCTAAAACTCAAGAATAATGGTTGCAAAATTATGCAAAATAACATTAATTTATCGTCAGTTTAATTATGTGACAATTCTTTTACCTTTATTATTAAAAATAGTCATGTTATGAAGATTACATTAGAAACGAGAAAATTTCTCTAAAAAGATGGTAGAACGGTGGAATTTCCCAGCCTAGTAATGTTTCTTTCGTTCTCTTCCCCACGGCAAATATCAACTAAATAAATTTTATAGCCTAAGACACTAATTTAAAATTAATACGAAATAATTTTCCCAAAATTGAATTGACAATGAATAAACGCCATTTTGCACAGCTACTTGACAACTACTAATAATGAACAAGACCCACTTGTATAACCTAAAAATGTGTATTAACAAAATTTGTTACCTGTTGTTTCTGCATAAGAATGTTGACTGAAGCCAAATCCGACCCCGTGTCGTCGCTTTCGATTTGTTTTTCGAGATCGTTCATCCACGAGTCGATATCGTCGCAGGTCTGATGAATGAGTACTTCGCGGTTAGCGTCAAACAGGCGTTCGCCTTTTTCTTTAGTAGTCTGCTCTAAAACGTCGAACTGATCAGCCAATTCCTCGAGTTTTGGTTTAATAACATCCGCAAATTCAGGTTTTTCTTTTGCCAGTTCTTCGCCGGTTTTTTGAAGATTATGAAGTCGTTCTTTGTTGGCGGCAATTTCTGCTTCGAACGCCTGATGTCTGGTCCATTTCGAATGGACTGTCTTGGCCGACCGGTATGTTTCGTCTTGGGCAGTGATGTGTTTCTCTTGCATCCATTCTCCCAATTCCTCGCAATCGCGTAAGAATTGATGCAGTTCTAACTGATCCCTCAACCTGTCCATTAAAGCTAAGGCCTTTTCTTTAATAGCTGTTCTACGTTGTTCTATATTGTCAGCACGTTTCGCGATTTTGTCAGCAGCAAAGTGATTTTCGTCGATTAAACGATTAGAAATTTGAATGACGGTGTTAAATTTGTCGTCATTCGCTTCCATAGATGTAAGGAAGGACTCATGTTTCTTAAGCTGATTGTCGGCCTGTTCCAGTGTGGTAGGTGTTTCGATTTTCGACAATGTATGTTCCTGCTGATTCAAGATAACCTCAGCTTGACGAGCGTCCTTGTCAAGGTATTGCAAATCTAGAGACTGTGACAATAATTTCTGGCGATTCTCCCACATCTGGTGAATTTCGTCCCATCCATCCTTGAGTGCTTTCAGTCTTTCTCTTAGGAACATATATTGAGTATCATCTTGAGTACTTGGATCGGCAGTGATTTTTTCACCATATTCCATCATCTTGGTATAATCATCCGTGTAGTTATGAATCTCTTCGTAAATGCTTTGGTGCTGCGATAACAGATTTTCTGCTTCAGCTAGTGAATTTGGAGTGTCTTCTGAAGCAATATCCGTCTGAGTCTTGGTAAGCCAAGCTTGGAAGTGGTCCAAATCGCGCAAGAACCGATGGAGATCTCCAGCTTCTTCCAGTTTTGAATCACGTTCTTTCAACATTTGCGTTAAGCGCTCCCAAATAATTTGTATTTGTACTATTCTTTCTCGAATGACGGCTGCTTCTTCCGGATGTTCTGTTTCAATATTCGAAGCTTCCTTCTCTAGGGAGGTCAGTTTAGCTTGGATAGCAGCAAGATCACGTTCCATGCCAGAAAGGCGTCGCTGTAACGTCATAATACCAGTCAAATCCATCTCCAAGCTATCTGTACTTTGCAAAATACGAATTTTGTCTTCAATCCAAGTGGTGGTTTCACGGCATTCAATGTGGAATGTTTGTACACCATGAGCAGAATTGAGTTCGTCTCGTTTCGCTTCGGCTTTTTCGCGCAATTCGGCCCATTTCTGATTGAGCTGATTTTGTCTGGCTGTAATTTCTTCAGAATTCGGATGCTCAACGTGCAACAACTGACGGGCCAACTGGTTAACAACGGCTACTCTAGAAGCATTCGCGTTCATTTCTTTCTCGAAACCATCATAACGATGTTTCATAATTTCGACATCTTCGATGTCGCGTGCTGGTATCATAGTTTGCAACATTCGATCTTTCTCGCTAATCCATTGTTCAACACCATCACTTTCCGAGAACAACTTGTACAGTGACAACGCATCCAGCAGACGTTGTTTTCTTAGTTTCGCCAACTCGAGTAGTTCTTTATACCTGTTGTCAATAGAAGCTAACCTCTGAGACACTTCCGGAGAATCAGCTACTTCTGGTCCTAACTGTTTAGCTTGTTGATGTAAAGCTTCAATTGTGTTGGCGTAATTTTTAAGTTCTTCTGTAACATCTTTGTGTTTTTTAAGTAATGACTGAGCATTGCCTTCATCTCTACCGACATCTTCGCTTGATACTAATCTTAAGGTGTCCAACATCCAGATGTCGACGTCGTCGGCATCAGCAAATAGCTGATGGTAATCAACAGCATCTTCCAACCGCTTTCTGCGGTAAGCTGCCAAGTCTAAAAGATGTTTCCAAGCAGCCCGTATTTCTGATAATCTCTCTTGCACTTTTTCGGCACCAAAGTGGCCGGAATTTATTAGTTCGTCTCCAACTCCAATGACAGCGTCCAATTGTGGTTCATGGGCGGTAATTTCATTTTCTAATGCTTTGTGTTTGCTTAGCAGTAAATTGACAGTGGTAAGATCATGTCCAATATCTGCTGCTGAGACGATCTGTTCTTTTTCTTTGATCCAGTTTTCTTCATCGGCCATGTCCCAGTAGAACTGCCACAATTTGCGACTTTCTTCAAGACGCGATCTACGCTCCACGGCCAGGCGTACCAATTCAGCGTAGGCATCTTCGAGTTGTTGGACTCTTTCCAGTACTAAAGCAGGATCGCAAGGTCTATATCCTTCTTCATTTTCTACATCCAGGAAGCGTTGCGATTGATTAGCAACGGCTTTTACTCTGTCTCCTAGTATGTTGATATCAGCTTCAAGAAGATTATGTTTTTGAAGAAGATCTTCAACACCCATAAGATGTTTGCCATAATCATCAGTCAATAAACGTCCCTTCAATTCCTCCATCGCATCGAGAATGTGGAGCATTTCTTGGAAGTTTTGTTGTAGTTGCAGTGACAATTCCAATCTGTGTCTACGTGCTCTAAGCAATTCCAAAAGATAATTCCAAAGACGTAGGACATTTTCTTTTCTCGCGTTGATCCTTTCCATATCGTGGTAATTTTCGGCTTCTAATTCACCAGCAACAGAAACCACGGCCTGCACTCTTTCTTCATAAGCGAGAATGTCTGTTTCAATAGCTTCATGCTTTTTAGCAGCAGCTTCAACGGCTGTCAAATCGTGACCGAAATTGTCCTGAGAAACCAACCGTTGATTTTCACTAAGCCAAGTTTCCCTCATGCTGGCTTTCCTGTTGAAACGAGCTGCCAACTGTTCGAGTTTCTCTTGACGAATCAATTCCTCACGCAGGGCGAGCTCTCGTTCGTGCTCTGCCTTTTCCAGGCGTTCCCATGCTTTATTTATATCCGAAATCATTTTACCTTCTTTCGGTGTGTACGGACGTTGATTATTTGCTCTCATTTTCGACTGAAGAGTGAAAAGAAGAATCTCCAGGTTTCCTTTCTCCACGAATTTCGGAGGTTTTTCAACTGTGCGATAATTATTAAACTGACCTAATTGTTGTTGGACACCAACAAGACTATTCGCGAACTGTCTTTCTCCGAGTGCAGAAATGGTTCCTTCGATCCATGCTAGTAAATCACTTGTCAAAGATTCGTACTCTTTGATCATTCTATCGTTTTCCATAGCGATTCCTACCACTTTACCAATACGCTTGCCTTGTACTGTTTCTTGTTTTTTATTACTGAAATAATGATAGTATGTAACGACGTAAGTGATAATTGATTTTTCGTCGGGTTGTTCTACAAAAACGTCTTCAGCGTCCAAGAGTTTCGTTAAACCTAACTTGTCTTCTGCTACATTAAATGCATTGTTTAGATTATGGATGGGGTTGGATTTTGATAACTTTTCAAACTGTATTAAATCTGGACGATGTTTATGGATAAGTGCGTTAAATGCTAAACCGTCTCGCCATGAAGTGGTGAAGTTTCGTACATTTACGTTATTATAGCCAGCAGTTTTCATCTGACACCACAACAATAAAGCATCCTTCGCCGATTTCGTTTCTTGATTATCTGTTTCTTCAATCGTGATATCTTGAATTTGGAAGCGTAGAATTATGGTCCAAATTAACCCCAGAGATAAACGAGGATTTCCGTCTACGATATCGTGGGATCCCATATTTTCTAAGTGAACACGTTGCTCTCTAAGAAATTGCAACGCTTTATCGACATTCTCCAAGCAATGAATACGCATTTTGCCCTTTGTTGGACGGGGTAAACGTTCACCAGATAAAACTTCCAGCAGTTTAATCAAATTTTTACCATCTCGCATGTCGGTGTAGAGATCGGTAATTCGCGAATTAACCCGCACTAGATGAGAGTTAACCCATTTTTGGAAAGTCTTTTTCTGGACACTTTCTCGTTCATCTGTAAATTAAAAAAATAAATGAACTTAACCACTAGGACATACAAATAATTTCACCTCGTAACTCAAGAACCACTTGTTCGTAATACTTTTGCTCCCATTCTAGAGACGCGTCCATTTTAATAAATACTACTTGTTCAGTGACTAAACCACACTGAATTTGATACAGGAAACGTTTGGTTTGATAATATGTACATATAAAGATAACGCTATACAACGGAATGGGAGTAAAAGAAAACAATAGTCAAAATATAATTATAAATTTACCCGCCAAAGCTTTGATGCGAGATCTTTCGAAAAGTCGGGATGATGAATTGCCTCCATCGTATTCATAATCTTCTACGATTTCTTGTTGTAAGGTAGGATCCCACCTTACTATACTGATGTCTGTGGTCATTTTGTGAAGTTACCAGCTAAGCTGGTTTCCTGAAATAATAACTTCAATTCAATTTCGGGTTGTTCCGTGCCGAAAAGTTTTAGGCACCTTAACATTTGTGATTCACTTGTTAGTTTTAAAATATTTAATGCACTATACAAACAATTCTCATGCTGCAATATGGAGTACAACTGATTTTACTAAAAAAACACACTTTATTTTGGTTTTGGGTAGCTTAATTTTTTCTTGAAACATTTTCAAGAGTTTTTAATTTGAACATGATTAATTTGTCGCAGTAAACAATTGCTTATAAATGTTTAAATAAGTTAGAGTAGGCTAAATGTAAATAATGAATAACTACAAGTCGTTTTTTGTCTATAGAAAATCTTCAGTTTAAATTTAGAACAAACACAAAGCCTCTCTAGAAATAATAAATAAAATTTGACCGCAGCAATCTGAATTCATTTTCCTTCAAATCACACGTAAGCGGAAGCTTGTTATCGAAACAATTCATTTTTAATACATTAAAAATTGGTCGAAGGTTATTTCGACAGGCCTTCCCTCGCCCCTGACGTAAAATTCAACAATTTCCGCTTCTTTGAAGAAATATAAAATTTCATTTTTGAATATTTTAATTTTTGTGATAACCCCTATAAATTAAAATAAAGGTATGTGTGAACTGTTAAAGTACATACAGGTAAAGAACCGTGTTATCTCAAGTGAGTTTTTAACAAAATTTTGTAATGACGTCTCAACGTTTTAGTACACACATACAGCGGCGCACAAATCATTTCGGACATCATTTTTCTGTCATTCCAAAAATTGGAATGTAGTTTAGGCTTTTATTACCACTTTGACATCTGAAGTTTAAAAGAGTTGTCACGTCGCACGCAGTTAGCATGCCAGGATGTTGAAAATTTTGTAAAGGAAAAACTCATTTGAGACACTTTCATTAATTTTGTTTGAGTCACCTATTAAGTCACATAAGCAATTCTAAAATATGAATGTAGACTCATCATATTTTGCACATTTTAGATAGGATTTATTCGGCAACATTTTAAGATGACGTCATCAATTTGGGGGTGTCGGAAGTCAAACAAATATATTTTGATTAAAAATTTACAACGCTTACGTTGTAGATGTATTATAAGATTTCAGAGCATTCGGTTTTGCGGATTTAAAATTAAATTGGAAAATGTTATATAACTTTGGTTTTTTTCCAAAACTCTGGATGTCTTGGAAAAAACTCAACACGGATTTGTAAACTACACGTGTAAGAGTATGTTATTTTATAGGATTTAAAACCCATTTACTATGTACAGTTTTGAGCTGGATGAACTCGATTATAATATTTCTTTAGCTTATGATCGGGAAGTAAAAAGTGTCTCCCGTTTCCGTCCGTCTGTTCTCTGTATCGATTTTTTTTAGACAGATAATCTCCGAAACTACTAGACCGATTGTTGTCAAATTTTGTATGTGTATTAGGAATATCATATAGATGGTAAACCGCTTACCAAAATTTGGTTAAACATCCCCACCACCAATGGGATAACGTCATTTCCAAAATATTCAATAGTAAATATTTTTTGTTTAATAAAGTAAAATACTCTTGCACTTGTGATGCATGAGTCTGTGTTGAGTTTTCACGCTAGACATGCAGATTTTTAGAAAAGAAAATTGATCTAAAGTTATTTTAACAGAACTTTCCTCGCCCCGAAAGTACAACAAAACGTATCCAACTTTTTCGAAAAATTATAAAAATTGATTTTGGGATTTTATTAAGAGAACTCCTAAGAAAAGTTAAAAATAAAGATATTTATGTTATGTTAAAATAAATTTAAAGAAGTTATTCTACGCGTACGTTTCAAATGAATTTTTCCTTTACAAAATTTTGCAATATCAATACTAATAACAGTGTTGAATTTCCAAATTTTTGAGAAAATGGAGTGAGCCGTTCCTCGTTTAATCAATAAAATATATTGACTCATTAATTTTTTTTGAGTCACCCTGCATAAGCAATTCTAAAAAGCTTGAAAGGAATGATAAATTCACCATATCAAAATATGCAAAATAGGATGTGTTTATATTTGTGATTTATCAATGCATTACAAGTTTTTACATTTTTTGTACAGAGTGACTCATAAAAATTAATGAATGAGTGAATTTATTTTATTGATTAAATCGAACGGCTCACTCCGTTTTACCGAAAATTTGGAAACCCAATACTGTTATCATTTGCATTACACTGCACCTATTGCAAAAATGTTGATGACGGCATCACAAAATTTTGTTAAGGGAAAACTTATTTCGAATGTACACCCAGCACGTTTACATTCACTTTAACGTTACATACATATCTTTAATTTAACTTATAAGGGTTTTCATAAAAAAATAAAATTCGCATAATCAAATTTTATAATTTTTCGAAAAGCTGGATTTGTTTTGTTGTATTTCAGGGGCTAGGGAAGTTCTGTCGAAAGAACCTTCGACCAATTTTTTTAAATGGTGTGAAATATCAAAGATGGTTTTGAAATGTATTTCTGGTTACGTATTTAATTTTTTAGATGTGGAGCTTCTCGTGAATAAACCTGTATAAAGTAAAAAATACATTACACATTGTACACTTTAGATGGGATGAGCCGGAGAAAAATTGGCGACGGCGTCATTTGAGGAGAGAGAGAAAGATACAATTTCATCACGATTTACCATGGTACGATAACCTTAACACTTTTGCGAGATTCCGAACCACTCGGTTTTCTGCATTCAACGCTAAATTGTAAAATGTTGTTATACAATTTTGATAATTATTTAAATCCGGATATCCGGAGTAAAAACTGAACACGGATTCATAAACGAGTGCAGGTGTATGTTATTTTATTAAATTTAAATAACATTTATTCGACCAAATTTTAAGATGACGTCGTTAGCTGGGGGAGAAGGACAAATTTTCATTAACGATTTACCGTGCTTGCAATTTTAAAGTTAAATTGTAAAATATTGTTATACAAATTTTGATTTTTTTTTTCAAAATTCTGAATGCCTACGGTAAAAACTTAACACACATTCATAATCCGCATGTGCCGGAATATGTTATTTTAGCAAATTTAATTATTCGTAAAAATTTTGTGCTGACCTCATTGTTTTTTTTTTGGGAGGGAATAAACGGATAAATTTTGATTAAAAATTTACTGCGTTTTCACCTCTCGAGCCTAAGCTAAGGAAGTATTGTAATAAACTGTTATTTTAAGGATTATCATAAGAAAAATTAAAGTTTATAATTTTTCGAATGTTTTATACCGCTTACGTCATTTGAAATGCATTGCTGACGTGGGTATCATGGCCACCTAGAGTAGGAATTTCAAAAATGATCCGATAACATTGTAAAATTCGTTGAAAAATATATGTCACAATGACTTTTACAGAACCGTTCTGAAGAAATTACGCCATAGAGTTTCTTATCTGGAACAGCCTGTGTACAATAAATGTTTACACTTGTCAAATTAAATAAGTTCGGCAATACGCAAAATAGTTCAATTAAGAACAAAAACGAATTGATTTAAAAGTTCCATATTTAGAAATTTAGAATGTAATTACATGAAACACATGTGTTTTTATTTAAACTAAATAAACAAGAACGGATCACTTATCACTTACTCACAAGATATAACCTTCAACCTGATTATATTACAACATAAATGATGTCATCCAGCTGTAAAACTTATGCAGTTATTCACTCACTCCATAATTCCACACTTACGAAAGTGGTTATATGCGGTCATGCAAACTGTTTTTCATGTTCAAACAAATTCAAATAGTGTCAGTAAATACAATATTCAACTTTAGACAAAAGTGTTTTGTGTTTTTGTTAAATCTAAGGTTGTGTTGTGTAACGAGAATCTTCTGACAGAATAAACGGCAGAATTATTGATTTAGGCCATTACAGCACCCACCGGCATAAATGACATCAAGTCTTTTCTGACTAGTTGAATATTACGCAATTTGGTCTGCCAAAGAATGTCAAAAAAAAAGAAAGTAAAAGGCGATGTAATATTGCAAACTAAATATTTCTTAAATCTAATAGTATAACCCCTGCCCCCCATACTAAACTATTTATGCTCTCACCTAACATGCTTACAGAAACAAAAAGAAAAATTTTATGATTGCCGCAATAACCGAAACATTCCTCCGACCGACCAAATATCGTCACAGTGGACCGGAACACCAAATTCACATCTTACGCCACGAAACACTCAAATTTAATGAATATAAAACGAGTAATTTTTGAAAAACTTGAAAAAGCTACAATGACCAACTTGTAATCTGGATAAATCAATGATTCGACGACCAGGATGTCGACACAAGATGATGGCGAATCGTGTTTGGCGTCTCGACGCCTGACCTAGCCGAACCGTTCGCCAGCTAGACTGCAGCGTCTGGTTCGATCTGTAGTGCGGCAAAACTGCCGTTGGCGGCGCAAAATTCGCAGCTGACGACCTCGAATGAAGCTGGACGAATTAGGTCAAGTTGGAGGAGAGACGGATCAGGGACCAAGGAAGCGACTGCTGATCAGGACAATTTAATTGGTGGAAATCTGCACGACAAACATAAGTAAAACAAAGATTCATTATGAAAACAATCGACTCGTTGTTCCCCCTCCTGTCATGAAGATATACGAATACAAGAAAACCAAATAGAACGAAACAGATTACGATTTCAAACTCTACAGACAGCGTCTTGGGAATTTTATTTTACTTCTACAAAATTTGAGTTTTTTAATATGTAATATAACATAATAAAATGTCTATATGCTAGTAAGTCGTATTATCCTACTGAGTATAATAAAAAAATATCGAAGTTTCTTTTTCATTGTTAATCGGTTTTTATCAGACTGATAATCTCCGAAACTACTGGATCGATTGTTGTCAAATTTTATGACTAACCAAAATTTGGCATCCCCACCACCAATGGGATGACATCATCTCCAAAATTTACAATAGTAAACTTGTTTTTAATTTTATAGAATACGATACTCCTACATTTGTGGCATATGAAACCTTGTTGAGTTTTCACCCTAGACATCGAGATTTTTGGAAAAAAAAAAGATCGAAAGTTATTTCGACCGAACTTTTCTGGCCCCTGAAGTACAATAAAACATATCCAGCTTTTTCGAAAAATTTTTAAATTTGATTTTGTGATTTTTATTTTTTATGAGAACCCCTATAAGTTAAAATAAAGTAATGCTAAATGTAAAGAAGCGTTCAAGTGGGTTTTCCTTTCCATTTTTTTTTTGTTTTGATGACGTCAACACTTTTGCAAGGATATGTATATAAATTTAAATAAGTGTAGTCTAATACTAATAATAACAGTACCTATTGTACATATTCCAAAACTTTTTGGCAAATGGAGTGAGCCATTCTTGGTTTAATCAATAAAATAAACTGACTCATTCATTTTTTTTAATTACCCAGTATAAACAATTCTAAAAAAATGGTCGAAAGTTATTTCAACAGAACTTCCCTCGTCCTTAAGTATGATCCGACAAATTCCGCTTCTTTAAAATTTGATTTTGCAATTTTCGTAAGGATTTATTCGGCAAAATTTTGGGATGAAGTAATCAGTTTTTTGGGGTTGATAAACTGATACATTTTGAACAAAAAGTTACCATCGTAACAATAACTTCAAAACGTCTGCAAAGGTATTCAGTATTGCAATTCTTGATTTAATCAATAAAATAAATTGATTGTCATTAATTTTTTGAGACACTCCGTATAAACAAATCTAAAAAATATTAATGCAGTATTGACTCATCATACTTTGCACATTTAAGATAGGATTTATTCAGCAAAATTTTGAGGTGACGTCATCAATTTTTTAGGGGGGATGAGCAAATACATTTGGATAAAAAATTTACCATGCTTATGATAACTTTAAAACATCTCCAAGATTTCAAAACATTCGATTTTGTAGTTCCTGATTAAATCAATAAGATAAATGCACCCATTCATTAATTTTTTGAGTCATCCTGTATATGCAAATCCAAAAAATATGAATGGAATGATAAATTGCAAGTATAGACTCATCATGAGCTGACGTCATCTTTTTTTTGGAGGAAATAAGTAAATATAATCTACATGATATTCCTAATATAAATACAAAATTTGACAACAAGCGGCCCAGTACTTTTGGAGATTATCTGCCTAATAAAAATCCGGGACGGCAAACAGACGGAAACGGGAGACCTATTTCTTCGTACTGTAGGTGTCATGAAAGTCGAGAGTCGGCCGATGGACTCGCTTACGCTCGGGAAGTAAAAATATAAATGGAATAATAAATCACAAGGGTAGACTCATTATGTCTTGTACATTTTAAATAGGGTTTATTTGGGAAATTTTTGAGATGACGCCATCATTTTTTCGGGGGCATAACCAGATGTATAGTGATTAAAAATTTACCATGTTTGCGATGACTTTGAAACAGTAGCGGCTCGTGGTCTTTTCGTTAGGGAAGGCAACATTTTCGTTTCAAAATCACCAGGTATTAATTAACATGTTCGCAATTACTTTTGTTAAAAAACAGATTGTTTATCCGTTTTTATGAAAACAATACAAATAACTCTCAGTCAGTAACATATCTCTATACAGATACCCTTCTCGAATAAAAAATATTTAATTGCTTCACACAAACCAACGAGAAAGTGTAAAGACTACAGAATTTACTTTATTAGCATTAAATATTAATTCATATGATCTAGGACTGATTTAAATATATTAATCAATTAATTAATTAATAAAGTTCTACTCAAATCTGGATGAGAGGTTCTTAAATTTTCGTCGTAAGAAAATCGTGATTAAATATTTAAACTTTATAAGAAATTCTACAATGTCGTTAGAGAATTAGAGATTCTTATGTTCCTATCCGCATTGCAAAACTGGCATTTTCATTGTCCTAATGTTTTCAAGTTAACTTAAAAGTTTTAATACATAACCTTGGCAATGCACATGCAGTGAACACCTTTTCTCGCGTCTAATTAATGCACAACTAAATGCACACTAAATGCATTCAGCATCCCTGTTCAGCATTGTGCAGTTTCACCGTGAGATTAAAAAATTCGATCTGAATGGCTTACGATGGTAGGCGTTGGTGCCTCCGCTGGCGTTTTGAAAAAGCACTGCTGACTATTGTCTTTCTCAAAAATATATTAGCACCACTGACTAATCATGCTGAAGATATCCGTCTATCTGAGGATGCCTCCGTCTGAAGCTGGCCTACACGGTGATGATCAGCGCTTATTCCTGTCGAAAGCGCATACTTCAAAATATGTTACCAAGACGCGTTTTAATAAATCACAGTATTCTATAAAAGTTATTTGCTATATCTTTATATATATTTTTATTTATATTTATTTTTATTTATATATATTTGAATCTGACAGATATTCAAACAAAAACTAATAGTCATTTTCCAGGGTAGGCACTGCCTCCCCTACCTCCCTTGACGAGCGGCTACTGCTTTGAAACGCCTGCAAGATTTGAAACCATTCGACTTTGAAGTTCCTGATTTAATTCATAAAGTAAATGGACTCATTCATTAATTTTCTTGAGTCACGTATATGCAATTTTAAAAAAATGACAACCATGATCACTCGCAAGTATAAACGCATCATATTTTGCACATTTTTGATAGGATTTATTCGATAAAATTTTGAGATAACGTCATCAATTTTTTGGGGGAATAACAGATATTTTTGATTAAAAATTTACCGTGCTTACAATAATAAAACGTCTGCAAAATTTCTGAACATTCGGTTTCGCAGTTCTTGATTTAATCAATAATTAATTTTTTTGAGTCACCTGTATAAGGAATTCAAAAAATATGAAGCCAATGACGTTTACCATGTTCTACTGTAGAAGTGTCTTATACGCTTCATTCCGTCAGAATTAAATATTTTATAGCGATTTTTCCAATCGTCAACAAAACAGTTTAAATGGTTTCTTGCGAATTCTGTTTTTTGTGGTTTTTTGGCAGAACGTCTAGTAAATAATTTGGTTTCTATAAGCGTTCTCTGCATTGTTCACGTACCGACTTCTACTTCAGGAGTTTCAGCAATAATCCTCGGAGCGGATTTCCAAGGGCCATTTTGAGAGATTTATTTGATGGATCTATCCATCCATATTGAACTTTTCCTTGGTCTTCCTGGTTTTGGCTTTTTTTTTCTAAATGTCCTCTTTCGTCATACTGAGAAATAATTCTTGCAACACTGTATTTAGGCAAAAAAAAAGTGGTGAAATGTTTGCTAGTCTTCTTCCTTCCAAACAGGCGTTAACAACCTTTTCCTTCAATTCTAGACAAATCGGTTTACCTTTCGACATGATAATTTTGACTGTGTTGCACAAACTAAACTTATTGTAGAACTTTTAGTCGATATTAACGGCTATAACTATTTTTTCAGTCAATAATTGAAAATGTTTTACGCCAAAAATAAAATTGAACGCGGGGGTTTCTATTGTTTTGAATCTTTTTATCACTGATAACAGCAGCCTACTCTAACGTTTTAAAATTGATAACAATTACAGAAGTTATTAATCATTGTACCAAAAAATTTCAAAATAATATTTTGCATAAAAGTTGCTTCACTTTTGTCCAATAGTGTATACTTTACTCAACATTACATACATATCTTACTTTAACAAAATTCGAAAATCAAATCTTATAATTTTTCAAAAATCGGGATTTATCGCAGTGTACTTCTGAGGCAAGGGAAGTTCTATTCAAATAACTTTCGACCAATTTAAAAAAAATCGTGAATTCGTGTAACTCGAGATGTGCTATCGTAAGGATGATTTTTAATAGCATTTTGCCTTATTTTGTTGTCTTTTAATTTGTGTCGTCTTTGGTAAGAAATGTTCAAATTCACAGCATTATGAGGTCTGAATATTAGGAGTACAACAATCAAAATGAGTTCAACTTCATAAAATAGTAAGTAAAAATTTCTCGACCCACACTAGCCCAACTTGATTTTGCTATTTTTTCTTTTACTTTATATGTTGTTTATAAATAGGAACTACTGTTGTGCATTACTTGCAACTCAATTAAAACCAAAATATAAAATAATTTAATTAAAATATTAACGTAATTATTATTTTAACCACTAATTTTATCTTCCCATTTTTTATCATCTGGCTGTTCTTCTTTCATCATTTGTTGTAATTTTAAATTACCTCTAAATATTTAGCACAAACCATGAAAGTATTAACACTCCGTGAATGGACATTAAAAACAGTTAACCATTGTTTCTGTGGCGCATTATTTTTCCTGTTTAGATTTGTGGATACGGTAACATGTACTATACAAATCAACATTACCCATCAGTGATGACGCCAATTACATTCAATTGAATCAAAACGATGTGTAGTTATTACTACA